TAAGGCCCTGGGTTCAATCCCCAGTACCCCCTCACACAAAACTTAGGTGCATTAGGTGCAGGAGAATGCTGCTCACATACCGGTATGTATTTATTTATTTTGTTAATTTGGGGGTATTGGGGATTGAACCCAGGGCTTTCACCCTGAGCTACATCCTCAGCCCTTTTTCATTTTTTACTTTGAGATGGGGTCTCACTAAGTCACTAAATTACCCAGGCTGGCCTTGAAGTTTCGATCCTCCCGTCTCAGCCTCCCAGAGTACTGGAATACAGGCATATATCACCACTACCAGCAGCACACAGGCATGTTTTACAGAAAATCAGCAAAGAGGTTCAAGACAGGTAATATGATTGCTCTTTCAACTGGATGATGCGGCTGGGTGAGGTGGTGAACGCCTGTAATCCCAGCACTCCGGAGGCTGAGGCAGGAGGATCGTTGCAAGTTTGAGACCAGCCTGGGCTACAAAGTGAGCTCAATGCCAGCCTGAACTGCATAGTGAGGCCCTGTCTCAAAAAGACCAAAAAATTTTTAAAAAGGTAAACTGGATGATGGCCTTGAACCTTGACCAAAAGGGTCACCAGAGGCAGATGCAGAGCCCTCTGAGGCAGACTTAAAAAACTGCTTGAATCATGGAGAGGGGACTTGGGGCCCCGGTTCAGGGATCAGGTGGCAGGCCGGTGATAGCTTGGGTCTAAAATACCACAGCCAGTCCTCAGTATCCAGAATGTCACAAATTTCACAATAAAATGAAAACCATTTTCTGATGCACTGGGAACCCAGCAGGCTATCTGGCTCCAAACTTTGGTCCACATCAGACAGCAGAAATTTGGAAACCAGTGGTGTTTAGGTGGTACTGAAAGACAAGAGCTGGGTAGGGCTGGGGATGTGGCTCAGTGGTACAGCAACTGCCTAGCATGTGGAGGCCTTGGGCTCCGTTCTCAGCATGGCAGTAGATAAGAAATGAAGTCAGTAAGGAGGTTAGTGATCACCAACACTTAGGAGCAAGCACAGGAGAAAGACCAGCACAGGACTATGTGCTCAGGGACTGGCACCCACTTTATTTATATTGAATGAATTTGACAAGCAGCCAGAACAGTGGAAGGCAACCACTGTTCCCAAAGCAAAGGAAGAAAAGCTCAATAAAGCGGGGAGTGGGACTGGGGCTGGGGCTGAGTGGTAGAGAACTTACTTGGCAGGCCTCAGGCCCCAGGCTCAATCTCTAACACAGGGGAAAAATGAGTAAGAGGAGGGTGTTTTACTTATGTTTTTGTTGCACCCAGAAGTTAACACCAGAAGTGAAAGGAGGAAAGGTTTACTGTAGCAGTTTCAGCCTATAATTGGCTGGCTCCAAGGCAGGGTGGCTTGGCAGAGGAGAAAGAGTCCATGGCAGGGTAGGCAGGAAGCAGTGAGCCTGCCTTTTTACTGTCCCTTTATATTCCAGCAAGCTACAAGCCAACTGATTGGTGCCACCCACAGCCAGGATGTGGCTTCCCCAATCCATTCAGCCACCCTAGAATTTTGCTAATCCATTTAGGGGGCTAATCCAGATACTACACACCCTTAATCCATGTTCATACACCCTAGACCCACCCCTCTGAAAAGCCCCACCTATTAGCACATGAGGCTTTGGGGGGGACATTTAGATACGAGCCATAGCAGGAGGGGGAGTGGTCAACATACTAAATGCTGAAAAGAGATCGAACTGAATTCTGAGAACTGTCTCTGGATTTGGGAAAAAGAAAGCCATTAGTGGCCAGGTGGTGGTGCATGCCTATAATCCCAGCACTAGGAAGCTGAGGCAGGAAGATCGCTGGAAATTCAAGGCCAGCCTGGGCTACAAAGTGAGTTCAAGGCCAGCCTGAACTGTATAGTGAAACTCTGTCGCAAAAAGACCAAAAAAAAAAAAAAAAAAAAAAGTCATTAGTGAGCAGTAGTAGTTTCTTGGGATGGTAGACCAGGTTTGTGTTGGTAAATGTTTTAACAACTACTTCTTCCCCTAAAAGAAGGATATATATATATATATATATATATATATATATATATATTTTTTTTTCTACTTTTATAAAGTATAATGGCACAGAATTTATAATTGTTTTTGGTACCAGGAATCTAACTTAGGAACATGTGCTTGCCAGGCAGGCACTGTGCCACTGAGCTACATCCCTGACTCAATTTATAATTAATAAAATTTACAATATCCTTTTTTTTTTCAGGACTGGTATATTGAACCCAATGGTGCTCTACCAGTAAGCAACACTTCCAGCCCTTATTGATTGCTGAGACAGGGTCTCCCTAAATTTCCCAGGCAGAATTCAAACTGGTGATCCTCCTGCCTCAACCTCCATAAGTGCTGGGATTACAGATGTGCAACACCACACCCAGCTCAGTGTACAGCATTCTCTACTGTACACCCCACCCTTGTGTCCAACTTCAGAAATGGAAGTGCACTTTGATTACAAGTGTAGTTCTAACAGGGATACTGGCAAAAAAGAAACTGAAGGTGTATGTTGAAACTTCATTGGTTCCTCAGTGACTGAGTGACTTCTTTGTTGAATTTTGAATCTGATAATAATTTTCAAATCCTGAGAAAATTACTTGGGCTGGGTGTGGTGACACACACCTGGAATCCCAGCACTTGGGAGGCTGAGGCAGGAGGATCGTTGCAAGCTCGAGACTAGTCTGGGCTACAAAGTGAGCTCAAGGCTGCCTGAACTGCATAGTGAGACCCTGTCTCAAAAAAGACAAAAAAAAAAAAAGAAATTTACTTGGATTGTGTCATTCACAGTGTAACAGTTAACAGCAACACATTCCCCTCAACTCCAGTACTGGGGATTGAGCCCAAGGCCTTCTCACTGAGCTACATCCCCAGCCTATTTGACATATTTTATTCTGAGAAAGGGTCTTGGTAAGTTGCACAGGCTGGGCTCAAACTTATGATCCTCTGCTTTAACCTCCCAGAGGCAAGCCTGGGCTACATAGTGAGACTGTCTCAAAAAATAAAAAGTTTTTGGTGTTAGGTATTGAACTCAGGGCCTCAAGCGTGCAGTATTACATATGCACTTACCACTGAGCTGTACTTCCAGCTTAAATATAACTTAATTGTAAGTTTACATCATTTAATTTTTTGAAAGTGTAAGTTGCCCAGGTTAGTCTTGAATTTATGATCCTCCTGCCTCAGTTTTCCCAGTAGCTGGGATTATATGTGTGGGACAAGCTACTTATTTATTTATTTAGTTATTTAGTTACTTACTTATTGTGCACTACTGGGAATTAAATCCAGGGCCCTGAGCTACATCGCCTGCTTTTTTCTTTTATTTTTTTGAGACAGGGTCTCACTAATTCACTAAATTGCCCAGGCTGTGCTCGAATTTGCTATCCTCCTCCCTCAGCCTCCCAGTGTGTTGGGATTACAGATCAGCACCACGATGGACAGCATGCACTTATTGCTTTTTTGACTGATTGATTGGGTCTTGCCATGCAGTTGAACTCACCATGTAGCCTATGCTGGCCTTGAACTTGACCGTGATTCTCTCCCTTCAGTCTCCTGAGCTCTGGGATTACAGGCATAGGTCACCACACCTGGTTTATTCAATTTTTAATGGCCCTGTTTAACAACCAGCCAGTAGACTTTCCCTATCAAGGCATTAACGTGGCCAGCAAGATGCACCCACCTGCCTTCCTACCAATTTACTCCCTCCAAACTCCAGCACCTCAAACTGCTCTTTTGGAAGCAACACTTTTCTCACCCACCTTGGGCAAATTAACTCCTAAAGAGAACCTTCCGAATATACACTGAATCTGAGAATATCGTCTAACGGCATGTCAGAAGACTCCCGTCAAGTGTTTGTATAATGCCTAGTGTGCATACACTAGTGTGTGTGTTTTAATACTGAATCCCGCAGTTCTGCCGGCTTTCTGGGTGTAAGTACCAATCAATCGCGGGGTAGAAGATGCCCTTTCTTTCCATGATAACGTGAAAAGCTGAACAGTAAAATCACTTACAACCAGCGTTATTGATACTGTCACTTTACAAAAAGCTAGAGATAAACAAAGTTACTCTCTTGTACAAGCACCTCAGTTTTTCTTTTTTTTTTTTTTGGAGTTGGTTTTTCTCCGGTACCGGGAACCGACCTGAGCTTACTTTGCAGCCCAGGCAGGTTTTGAACTCGCAAGGATCCTCCTGCCTCAGCCCCCCGTGTGCTGGGATTCTAGGCGTGCCCACCACGCTGGGCCTGATTTTTTCTTAGCGAAATACAACTACAGAAATACGTAAAAAAAACACAAGCAGTTTCTGGCTAAAAGTTGAACTTGAAATTCACGTCTTGAGAAACAAGACAAAGACTACCATCAAAACAAGGACAAAGCTCAAAAAAAAACCTATCAAAAAAAGTAACATTCGTTAGACACCACAGCATATAGTTTCTGTTCATAGTAGGTAAAACAAACAGTTCGATCGTCAGGAAGAATCAGATAAGAGCAATCAGGGTGTTGCAAGTCCTGATTACGCAGCACGCTAATCACTTGTCATGCGATGCTCCAATCATCATTTTCTATCTGCCCTCCAAATGGAGGTACAGGTAAGGATTATCCCACCTGACGATAAGACAAGATCAATGCCGTTCCCTACTCAGCAGATAAGATTCCACTACAAGATAGGGTGATTATATAAATTGTTTATCTGAGGAACAGCTACCTAGCGTTCTCCAATTCTTAATACACTACTATTCGAAAATCTTTAAAATGATTTTATGTTTCACTCAGCTGCTAAAAATGGAGAAACTAATTCCCTCCCAGAATTCCTCGCTCACGTCTTGCTAGGCAGGCTTGGCGCCGCATTTATTTACATATCTCCGCCCACTTCCTTTAGACCGACTACCGCCCTCTACCGTAAAAATCAAAATAGAAGCGATACAGATTACGGTCTATAGAGCTGCAAAACAGCTTTTCTTTTCTCCCGCAGTTTGGCCACCCTAATTGTCTTATGAAATTGTAAGGCTTGGTCTTACTAAAAAATATATTTTATTATAAAACATTAGTAAAACGCTAATCCCAGATTCATGACATAAGTCACCCCACCACCACGCTCTACCTAAAACAGTCTCGGGAGAGGGTGGGAGTGGAGAGAAAGGGGCGAGGACAGAAGCCTATGTCTTCCTTCTTCCAGGACGGTAAGCAGCTCCCGGTTCCTCCAGTCTTCATCCCTACCTTCCCGCCATGAAGATAATTAGAAAGGTTTCTTTCTCAGCCCAAAGACAGCGACGAATAATGCCACTTCAGTGACAGCTGGGAGGGCACTGTGGGAAGTAGATGATGGGTTCAGAGCCTCTTCCAATATAAATACCCAAATTTCCAAGCAAGAGAAGCCCTCCTCCCCCAAGTGAAGTGCGACGAGGGTGGATCTGGTATCTCACATACGGAGGAAAAAAGGGCTGAATGGGGAAACCCTCAGATTTGGGGTAAACCTTCCCTCTCCATTCCCAGATAACGAGTGCTACCGGACCTGCAGAAGGCAAAAATGTACCAGTACGTGGTACACTCCCAGCGCTCGAATATGAAGAAGGACAGGGCCACAGAAGCACTACAGTGAGCCCCAATGGCTTGGAAACGCACTAGAGTGAAGGAAAGTCTTTGGATCCACAGGTAATGATGCGCCTGCAAAGACCAGCGATAGGGTTAGGGCCAGAATCAGCAGCATGCCTGTCATCTGAGTTTTAGAACCCCCATCCCATATCCAGGGGCTATCTTGGACCCTTCGGGAGATGCACACAGAGACTTGATACCCTCTGCTGGAATCACTGGCGCCCTTGTCCTCCTGGTCCACAATTCCCTATTCAGAAGCCGTCAGTGATCCCTGTGCCTCACCCTCTTGTCTCTTCTGAGTTCTGAGTTCTTATAGTGCTTTATATTCTTACACTCTTAAGGCATGGTGTTTATCAGATCGAGGACTGCTTGCTCCTCAAGGGAGGAAGCCATTTTAAAGACATCTAGCCAGGCATGGTGGCGCAGGCCTGTAATTCCAGCACTCGGGAGGCTGAGGCAGGAGGATCGTTGTGAGTTCGAGGCCAGCCTGGGCTACAAAGTGAGCTCAAGGCCAGCCTGAACTGCATAGCGACACCCTGTCTCAAAAAGACAAAACAAAACCAAAACAAAAAAAATAAAGACATCTAGATGTCTCCAGTGCCCAGCAGGGCTTAAACGTCTGACGAGTGCATTAAATCCCCCACACTGCCTGAGACTGCCCTACCCTAGGAATCGAACTCAGGGCCCCGAGCTTGCCAGGCAGGCACTGCATCGCTGAGCTACAATCCTCGGCCCCTGAGATCTCTTAACTGATTCTCTTTGTCAGCTAGGCCGGAAACTACTGTGCCAGAAAGCACTAGTTAGGTGGCTCAAGGGGGTCGTGATGAAGTAGGTGGTGTGGGAAAGGAAGACGCGCAGGAAGGATACAGATGAGACTCTGAGTGCTGTTGAACATGGAAACTCCTGAGAGGAAACCAGCCAACTCCACTGCAAAAAGGCCCAGGGTGACAGAGAGTGCTGTTACCAGCCTGCAGGGAAGAAAAGGGTTGGGTCAGGCCCTCTGGATTTGGAAGACCCTTCCATCCCACCACCTCTTCGCTGAAACCACCCTGCCCCGAGAGCTCACTCAATGTCTCGCTTCTTGTACTGCTCGGGGGTGAACCTGAGAGGCAGGCAGGCTAGGACGTTGCTGTCCTGGGGAACAGGGCAGAAAGAAAAAGGAAGTGAAAGAAGGGCGGGCTGCGGGGCAGGACTAGGGGCGACGGGGGATGGGAGGGCCCGCGGGATAAAACCTGGGGGCGGGGGGTCACCCTTGGGACTACAAAGAGGTGGAAAAGCCGGAGGCCGGAGGGGATGGGCGCGCCTTACCCGGGACCAGAATAAGGTGATAACGACTACCAGATGCGCCATGAGCGTCAAAAAGCGAGAGGGCACAAGGCCCGAGATCCGACCCATGGCCTTCAGGTACAGGTACACCTCCCGGAGCAGAAGCCGTGGCCTGGAAGTTTAAGGAGGAAACCCGAGTACCCCCTTCTAACACTGGTCCCGCGCGCCTAGGCACCGCCCAGTTGCCTTGGTAACTGCATAAGTATGGGCTGTCCCTCTGAAATCTCGCGAGAACAGTGTGTTCTCGAGCCACTAAACACTTCCGGGACGGCCCTGGTGTACCCAGTGGCGGAGCCGGAGAAAAGCCGAGGGTACGTCTCTATGCCCGCAGGGCTGTCAGCGACTAGGAGTGTGCAGTTGGCAAGTCCCGCACGGCCGAAATTATCTGGGGTGGTGCTGGTGGTGGTGGCGAACAGAAGCCCACTCTGCCCTAGGCCGAGAGCCCGACGGCCTCTCTACCCGGCCACCCACGCCCGCAGCGCGCGGCCCGGGTGTGCTCCAGCGTGACCATTCTCATTTCGTCCCCCGAGACAGGTGCTGCCTGCACGCCGGCTTAGGTCTCCACCAGGTCCGAGGCTTGGACTCTTCTCGTCCTTGCATCCTTTTGGCTTCCCACTGCCTTAGCGTGAGCCGATAAGGGAACCGCACGTGGGACGCGAGTGTCCCTAGGTCATCGGACAGCTGCACGTTCTCCCGGAGCCTTTGAGTATCGAGCGATTCCAGACCTGAACCTTCCTGGAGGGAGACTCAGGTTACCCCTAAACACGTTGTCTGTTTGGTGAGGGATTTGCAGAATGCGGAGAACGGCGATCTCCCTGGAAGTAGCGTGTGGGTGAAATTTGACTTTGGGGAGCGGAATGGATCACCAGGACGGAAAAGTGGAGGGATTGGGGGTGAAGGAAAGGAATGAAATAGTCTCTGCGTCCCCAGGAGGCTTACATTTGGCTGGGGCGCAGACCCAACTCTGATTTCACTATTGCTTTGAGGTCCCAGGCCCCGACAACCTGCCTGACCCCTGGGCCTCAGCGAAAATCCCTGCAGATCAGAAAATTCTTGCCGCGTTAATTGCACAGAGTCAAGTCCCATCCTTAAGGGACCTGCAGCCCTTTTCCCAGAAAAACAATCTCTCTTTCCCACTCCTAAACACTGCGCCTTTAAACCATCTAAATGACAAGCCCAAGAGGCATTTCTCATTCATTGATTCATTTGACAGATACTTATTGACCACGTCGGGCACTATGCAGTTCTCTGAGAGAATAGTGGGTAACAAAAGGCTCAACCTTCCTCTAATTTATAGTCTAGGCAGCAAGATCTCTATAAATCAGCAAATAATAAGCCTGCAAGGTAATTGGTGCTATACATAAAAAATTTTAAAGGGAAACACTAAAGTAATATGAGCAAGATATGATCAAGGAAAGGCTCTTTGAAATGGGCCATCCATCCTGAAGACTTTGTTTTAGGGAATTTGGCTAAAAATGAGAAGAAATCAGTTTCAGTTTCCTCAGGTCTCAAAGAAATGGATCTGCCACTCCCCTACCCTAACCACCACACCCGGCTAGGAATTAGTTTTTGAAAGAGAGAAATTTAGCAAAGTTACTTTCCTTTCTAGTCTAATAATATTGGATGATAATCAAATATTACCCAAGTCATTTTTTTTTTATCTGCGATGTAAAGATGGTTCTTGTCTTGACTATTGGACCTTTTCAAAGTTCTAAAATTTCTTTCACACCTCCCTCATCTCAGGAGCTACAAGCAAAACCACAAGTACAGTGGATACAACTGCTTTTCTCTTTTGAAGTGATCTTCATTGCCATTAGACCCCAAAAAGAGCATGAGTTGGATGGGGGTGGTGGCGCAGCCTGTAATCTGAGGGCTCAGGAGTCTGAGACAGGACTATTACCTTGGGTTCGAGGCCAGCCTGAACTACATAGCAAGACCCTTTCTCAAAACAAAACAGAATCAAAAAAAAAAAAAAAAAAAAGCTCCAAACAATCGGGGGATGACACCTATGTTACAGTGAGACGTGGGCATCCTGTACACCCAACACAGCAATTAATAGTTTAGCAAGCACACGGTACTCTCAAGGCATAGATAAAATACAAGGACTGGAGAATTCATGTTTTTCTTCTCTTTGCCTGTAATTTATGTGCATTTTCTCCTGGGAACAGAAAACGCAGGCCAAGCTCCTACTGTGATAGTTTGTCAAGTCTGGTTGTTCCCGGATGAAGGAAACTGTGTCACAGGGCAACACTGAGGAAAACCCAGGATCTGCTTCCAAGATTTTCCAAAGTGCCTGAATAGAACAAAGAGAAAGAGCCAGGCATGTGGAGAATTGAGGAAAGAGCACCCCGGGGAGTGGCCATAGGGGGCCAATTGGTGATTAGAAAGAAAGGCAGCGTTTCTGAAACCTAGTGATGCAGTGGGAAGAGACAAGCAGAGTAAGGCTAGAGAGACGGAGAGCCAGATGCCGTCAGGTTTTAGTCCGTGATCCTGGCACTTAGGGGACTGAGCCAGGAGGATCACAGCAAGTTCAAGGCAGCCATTCAAAAATAAAGAAATAAATACAAAAGCAAAACAGGTGATGTCAGGTCTTATAACTATGGGGAGGGCCATGGTCAAATTTGTGTTCCAATGACTGGTTGCAACATCCAGAATGGATTTTACTCAGAAGGTGAAAGGGGAAGACACAGAGTTACCTAGAAGGGATAGTTGGGGGCTTGCATCAGGGAGCACCCTCTGAAGAAAGTAGAGCCAAGTAGGTAAAATCGAGAGAGATTTACAAGATGAAGTCTAGGCATGGAGATGTGGGTAGGTGAGAAAAAGAGGTTAAGCTGACTGTTAAATTTTGGGTTCCAGAAGCTAGAGGCTCGGCGCATTCTACCTACATTAGGCTTCTTGCCCAAAGGACTACTAGGGAGCGAAATTGGGCAGTCCCATTTCACAATGTGAAATAATTGCAAGCCTCTCTCATTTCCTGTCACTTTGGATCATAGAAATCTGCCCTAGATAGAAGCCACTTCTGAGTTTTAGAGCCAGCTTGTGGCCACAGAAGGTACTGCGAGTGTCTGGATGTCCTTCCCTAGATGGCCATTCACTTCAGGGCTACGACCCTATGTCCTAATATCTGAACTAGTGAAAAAGCCAAAAATATGTAAAAATACAGGAAACAGTATATAGTTTCTGCTTACACCATTATCAACACACCCCTGTTTCTGCTGTAGCATGTCACAACTCCCACTGGGTTGTTTTCAAGCAAATCCTAGACATCATCAAAAAGCCCATATGCTATTTTGTATATATCAATAAAATGATTCTAAAGTTTATATGGATTGCTTTTGTGTGTGTGTGATAGTAGGGACTGAACCCAAGTTTACTCTACAACTATACTAAATACCCAGCCCTTTTTATTTTTTAATTTTGAGACAGGCTACTACCTTGCCAAGGCTAGCTTTGAGCTTGAAATCCTCCTGCCTCAGCCTCCCAAATAGTTCCAATTGCAGGCATGCATCACCCTGCCGAGCCCAGCCTGCTTTTCAATTTTTTTTTTTTTTGAAACAGGGTCTCACTTTGTAGTTCAAACTGGCTTAAACTCACAGTAATCCTCCTGCCTCAGCCTCCCGAGAGCTGGAATTACAGGTGTGCACCACTACACCTGGCTACTTTTAAATTTTTAATTATTTTGGAGGTCTGGATCACTCATTGTTTTTATTTTAACTTAACTATAAGCAAACAGAAGAATGAGTACAACACAACTCCAGATTGAGTTTTCTAAGACCACTGAAAGCAATTTATTAGCACAGATTTTTTATTTTGTTTCTAATTAATGAAGTGTATTGGTACATTTTAGGTGTACATCATGATCACATCCATCATAGGGAATTTTTACCTGTACATGATATATTTTGATTTTTTTCCCCTTCTCCTACCCTCCAACCCGTCTTCCCCTCCCTATTTACAAGAGTTTTGTTTCCATTTTTCATTCTTTTCTCCTTTTTTCCTTTTCCTTTCTTTTTTTCCTTGCCCTTCCCTAGTTCCCCTTCCCATTTGAATGTTTTCTTCCTATTTCACAGTACCTATTACACATTTTGGTCCTTATATACGCTTTTGGTTTCTCACACACCACAGAAAGAACTTGGCATTTACATGTGTGTCCGATTTATTTCACTTAAGAGTGTGGTCTCAAGGTGCATCCATTTGCTTAGAAATATCTCAAGTTTATCCTTCCTTATGGCAGAATAGTACTCCATTGTACAAAAACCCCCACATCTTTATCTGTGCATCACTGCTGGGCATTTGGGCTGTTTCTAAGATTTAGCTATTACAAACTGTAGCAGCACAGATTTAAGCATTAATAGTAATCTGTCACCCAGTGTTGATGCTTGTCTATGTAGCCAGTTCTCAACAACAGCAAAGGTAGTCAGAGCTATTCTCGCCATAGCTTTTTCCTGTATTACTTTTTTTTTTTTTTGTACAGGGAATCAAACTCACAACCTTGCGCTTGCCAGGCAGGCACTGTGCTGCTGAGCTATATCCCCAGCCCTCTTTCTTTTTCTTTCTTTCTTTCTTTCTTTTTTTTTTTTTTAATTACTTTTTAAAAGAGCCAGAAGCCAGGAATGGTAATACACACCTATTATGCCAGCATCTGGGAGGCTGAGGTAGGTGCATCACCACAGGTTTGAGGCCAGCCTGGGCTACATAGTGTGTTCAAGGCCAGCCTAGACTACATAGCAAGACCCTGTTTTAGCCAGGCGTGGTGGCCCAAGCCTGTAATCCCAGCACTCAGGAGGCTGAGACAGGAGGAGCACAGGGAGTTCTAGGTCACGCTGGGCTACATAGTGAGACAAAAAACAAAGCAAGCCAGGAGTGGTGGCACATGCCTGTAATGCCAGCACTCAAGGGGCTGAAACAGGAGGGTGTGAGTTCGAGGCCAGTCTAGGCTACATGTAGTGAACCCCTGTTTCAAATAAATAAATAAATAAAAATTTAAAAAAGACAACAAAAAGAAAAGGAGAGAGTGATGGGGGAATGACAGCCAAAAGATCAATGTCATGGGAGAACAAGGCGCTTGGAGTTATTACTCAGGGTCAGTTAATGCCAGGCCTGAGAAGTTCTGTGAGCTTTGACATCTCTGTGGTATCTAATAACTTTCAAGAAAGTTATTGCAGAAATCTGGGTTGCCCTGGGGATGGGCAGGAATCCACTGAGAAGGGACAGGGAGAACTTTCTGGAGTGCTGGAAATGTCCTGTATATCTTGAAAGAGTTGTGAATTGCGCGGCAGTATTTGTCAAAACTCATGGAAATATGCACTTAAAACCTATCTGTGCTTTGTGCTGTATGTAAATTATGCCTTAAAAATCCAAAAAAATTTAATGCAGAATTTACCCCCTAAAGATTTTACATCCTAATGGCGGGGCTTTTCCGGACAGGTTAAAAAATTAGAATCTCCAAACCTGGGCACGGGGGTGGGTATTTTTGAAGGTTCCTCAGGAGTCTGCATCCTGCTGGAGGGGCTCATCGCCCACCGCTTCGGGTGTCCTGGACTCTGGCGTGGCCCCCCTACGGTCTGCCTGGCATCCGTCTTTCTGTCTGATTCTGGACAGGTCCTCGCTGGGCTGTGAGCTCTGGGTCCCCCTGGCGAGCAGGTCAGCGCTCTCCACCCAGTATCTGACAGGGCGACAGGGCAGGGTGGAAGGCACCGGTGAGGCAGAGCCACAAAGCCTCAGCCAGCGGATACCACCCGCAAGACTCGGCCTATCGGCTGTGTCCACCAAACGGGTCTGGGTTGCTCGTCCGGCCGCCTGGCCGGACAATGGTCAAAGGGAGACCTGTCCAAGCAGGGAGCCGGCCGGCCTCGTGGCGCAACGGTAGCGCGTCTGACTCCAGATCAGAAGGTTGCGTGTTCAAATCACGTCGGGGTCAGGTTCTTTTTCCGTATGTCTACTTTAAATCTAGTCCAGCACCAATCCTCCCCGCCCAATGTCTAAGGTATCGGAAAGCAGGCATCCGGCAAAAAAAATGTCAAGGACGTCTCTTGAGAAGACCCCAGTGATTCTTCCAGATTGTTTTGCGGTGGATCCTGGTAATTTGGGGCGGACAAAGGGGCTCCGGAGGACAGATAGTTCCAGACACTGAGTCTAGCGGGAGAAGGTTTCGGTGCTGCTGGCTCAATTTGACTGCTGAGCGGGCTTCCCAGAAACACCAGCGAGCCACCCCGGCAGGAGTAAGAGTTCAAACCCCAGAGAAAAGAATTCGAAAAAGTAGGATGTGGACGAGGTGGCCGAGTGGTTAAGGCGATGGACTGCTAATCCATTGTGCTCTGCACGCGTGGGTTCGAATCCCATCCTCGTCGGTATGCCCTGGCTGAGGTATTCTGTAACTTTTGTAATTCCAAAGCAGAGATATGTGTTGTCACCTCCTTTCGGTGTAGTTAATATTCCTCGCAGGGCTCCATTCGTACTCTTCTCCACCGTCTTTTGTCGTTTTTACTACATTTTTTGCACCGCCAAGAGCCGTAGGAAGGGAATACATGTTCAAGCACCGGTTGTGGAGTTGGACTGTCCGAGAAATGAGGACACTGCAAACTTGAGTAAGTTCCATAACGGTGGCTTAGTTAGCTAAGGTGCCTGACTAAGAAGGAGAAGATCCTGAGTTCCAATCCCAGCACTCCCTTCATATCTTCTCTGGTTTTACAGAATAGGCATACTCAGGTAATCCTCCCATAAGTTCAGAATTTACTTCGCTGAATCTACTCTGTACAGTAATTTGAGGTATCTAGCACTTTTTGATAAATATGCCTTGCCGCTCATGTACACCACACTCCTTGCTTCTCATGGCATGTTTGTGATTTAGACCTACAGCCAAGAGTCAGAGGCCAGGTGGAGTGGCGCACGCCTGTAATCCCAGCATTAGAGAGGCTGAGGCAGGAGGATCACCACAAGTTTGAGGTCAGCCTCGGCTACATAGTGAGTTTAAGTCCAGCTGTGGATAACATAGACAGACCAGGCTCCAAAAAAAAGAAAGGAAGGAAGGAGAGAAAGAAAGGAAGCAGAATCAGCATTGTAGCTGAGCTGTTAATATGCTCTAAGTGGTCAGCCGGTCAGTTTGTATGCTCTTTCATATTTTCTAAAAGACTCCTGAAAAGCTTTACAGAGCAAGCGGAACAGTAATAACACTTTACATAGCATTATATTGAAAGACTTACATCGGCTGGCCGGTTAGCTCAGTTGGTTAGAGCGTGGTGCTAATAACGCCAAGGTCGCGGGTTCGATCCCCGTACGGGCCAGAAGTGAGAGTTTTGATATTATGTACTGTTAGCACTCTTTAGTTTCACCGATGAAAAATGTCACAGAAGAAATCTTCTCCAGAAGTTTTCTCACTCAGTAGAAGAAATAACCTTTGTTTCTACATATCCTGTTCAAGAATCCCTTGTAACCCCAGGACTGAGGAGGCTGTGGCAAAAGGATCCCCTTGAGTTTGAGGCCATACTGGGCTACGTAGTGAGAACCTGTCTCACACACAAAGGATGGTGGTGTTAATGGAAGTAAATTCAAAATGGGATGGTCTCGGGGGTGTGTGAAAAAAAAACCAAAAACCGTAGTTTTGTGATTTCTACATCAAAATTTCACAATCTTATGTGGTCCCTGAACTATGTTAAGTATAAACAGAAGACTGCCGTGATTTGGAATAAGATTGTCTCAAATCATTACATGTGACACTGATTAGTGCACTGTGGCAAATGGTCAGGAATAGAGCTGTCTCAGATGTTCCCATCTTCCTTCACAGTCAAGATGTCCAACTGCCAGGTGCCGGCCTGCTCATCAGGACCTGAGAAGAGGGCCCCTTCCCCTTCCTCCTCTTCTGGAGAACTTTGCCTGCATTTCTGCTTTCACTGGACCTCTGCGCTCCTGTGTGTGATCCCCTGGGCCTCGAATTTTCCCTCGGATCCCCTACCTAACAACAGGAAACATATCCTCCGGGATCCCCACCCCCACCCCACTCCCAGCACTGCCCAAGTGAGCTCCATGAACAGGACCAACCTTCATTCCCATTTCTTGGCCAGTCAACCCCTGCAACCACACACAGATGCAGTTTCAGCCTTAGCAGCAGCAGCACTTTAATTCCACAAAAATCCAGGAAGCCAAAACGCATTAGAACATTCCACAACAGGTGGGTTTCAAGACCAGCAACAATTCTACCTGAACCCTGAGCAGCAAGAAACCTCCCACCTCACCCCCTCCGCCATGCAGTGCGTTCCTCTTGGCTCCACCCCAGTTCTGGCTGGCGAAGTGATACTGTAGGAGACCAGAGGGTAGGAGTGGAGGTCATCCATCTGCAGCTGTGCGTCGTCGCCTACACTCAAGCTCCCAAAGCCCCTGGGACCTGAGACGTGGCCACCGGAACCAGGATGGCCACACTGGGGCTACAGCACTCTCCGTTTCCTTGTCTTGATCTCATGTGGAGTCAGGTCTCCACCCTCAAGCTGAGACCTCAGGCCCTGGCTTCCTAGGGATGGTGCTCTAGCTAGGAGGGGGAGCTGGTAAGAACAGGGTAGCTACAGAAGGCCAACAGAGTAGAAGCAGGGCAACATCCCTCCCATCCGGAGAACTGTCAGACCTTCCCCCTATAGCCTCCCTAAGGCCCAGTGGGCGGGCACGGGCCAGCTAGACGCAGCGGGAAATCCTCCAGCACAGAGGCCTCCTCTCAGGCAGGCGGCTCCCACCAGGCCTCCTAGAAGAGTCTTTAAGGTCCTGCGGGGCCCTGCCCTGGCCAGTCCCGGCCTCTGCGCTCTCCAGCTTATTTGCACAGTGCCTCTAACACCTCCAGCGTGCGTCGGATATCTCGGACTTGACGAGCCAGCCCCTGAACCGGTTGCAGAGCCCGCTCCAGCTCCTCGCAGCGCGCCAGCAGGGTGTACATGCCCTTGATACTCATGTCCACGGCCTCGCCTAAGGAGTCCACGGCGTCTCGGTAGGTCTGGATGCAGCCCACGCTCAGCGCCGTCAGCTCCTGCACCGCGCCACCCAGCCCGCGAAGCAGGCGATCCACCCGGCCGCCCAGCTCCCGACTCAGCCGCTCCAGGTCCCGCAGCACGTCAGCGTCTATGGGCGGGATGGTGGGAGTGGGCGCGGGCGTCAGGCAGGGCCGCGCAGGGGCAGGCGGGAGGGGCGGCGGGGCGGCGCTCAGGCGGATCTTGAGTTGCAGGTTGTTGGCGACGAAGTGGGTGAGGTCGCCGTGGCGGCTCACTGTGCCCTCCAGCTCCAAAGGGCTGGAGATGGTGGCGCGGCGTCCGCCGCCCGCGCCGGACTCGGCCCCCGCGCCGCCGCACGCCCCGCTCAGTCCGTCCAGGCTGCGGCTGTCCTGAAGGCGGCTGCAGAACGAGCGGCCAGCCCTGCCCTCCGCCTCCGCCTCCTCGCCGCTGTCTTGCTCTCCCCTCTGTAGCTGCTCGGCATCCATCTCGCCGCCTCGCGGGCTCCCCCGACGGCAGAGCCTCTCGGAAGCGGGCTTCTCTTCGGGCAGCTCGGGGTCCCTGTCCCGGGAGGGCGAGGGCGGGTCGTGCTCGCGACCTGGCGCTCCGCGGCGGCTCCCGGGTCCAGACGGCGTCGTTCCGCGGCCGGACGCGACCTCCCCCGCCTCGCGTTCGGGCCGGCGGACGATGCCAGCGCTCGAAGCCTTCGAGGACGCCCTGAGGTGGCGGCTGGCGCCCCCAGCGTCCTCCGCCTCTTCCTCCCCGGACACCATCAAGCCCGAAGGCGGCCTAGGGGGCGTTCGGTCTGGCCCGCCGCGGAAAATCGAGGCCTCCTGTTCCGCTACGGCCAGAAGGCCCGCCTCTGGCCCCGGCCGCCCCCGAGACGACTCCATACTGCGGCGGGGGCCGGAACCGAGGAATTGGTCCGCCGCGGCTCGGGAGGCGGTGGCGGCGCCTTTAAGGGGCGTTGGTAGAGGCGCGCCGATTGGCAGCAGCCTGACAAGGATAAGGACAGGAAGAACACTTTGATTGGCCGCGGCGACCGGGAAGTTCCGGAAGAAGACCTGTTATTGAACAGCCCTACACACGTGAGCACCAACCGGGTTGAAGGATGCAGGGGACAGCTGCGCTCGTCGCCCCGCCCTGTCAGAAAGTTGAAGGGGCAGATTTTAAAGACGAAGGTCTTGAAATACCGGACTCCCGCGGGGGCGGAGCCAGGATCCTTCCAGGTGCCCATAGTTGCACCGCCCACAATTATTGCTCACAGACTCGGGATTCCTAGAGAGTCTTGGAAAATAGTGCTTCCTGCTTGGACCCTCGGGGTGGAACCGCACCTAGTTGACCAAGAAGGTTAAAACCAGAATTTGCGGCAGAGCCTGAGCGGTCGGTTCCGTCACCCTGGGAAGACAGACCTAGCCAGTGAGTCGCGCAGAGCGCTGCGCTGTGGGCAGCGCAGCGGGGTCAATGGACTTTCCGGGGTTTTTAGTCATGCTACAAGGTAAAACAAAGGCGAAGATCACAGATTTTGATAAGCACTTTATAGGAAATAAAGGGTTGAGGCTGACATACCAGGGAAGGTACTCCGCAGAGGAGGGGTGAGGAAAGGCCTCTTCCATGCGAGGACATTTAACTGAGAGGAACCGCGAAGGGCGGCCCCGTCCTGGCCGACTTGCCCTGAACTTCAGACACAAGGTCGGGGCGGGGGTGTGGGCGTTGGCGAGGGTAGGGTGCGGGGTAGGTGGAGATACTGCGGCTAACGCAAGATGCGCAGCGGGGAAGACTGCGAGGCTGAAGAAGCAGGCAGGGGCCACATCAGGCAGGGAGCCTGGGCGTTGGAGCTCCTGTTAGAGAACAGAGAGTTCTTCCGAAGTGCAGGAGTGCAGCAGACACCAGGGAAAATATAGCCAAGGTCTTGAGACTGGTGTTTAATAAAAACAGTTCACTAATGTTCTTTGGCTAAGAACGAATGTGATTGTTCCTTTTATTTTTGTTTGTTTTTAAAGTGGGAATTGAACCCAGGGTCTTCGCAGTGAGGTACATCCCCATCCCCAGCCTTTTTTCATTTTTTTATTTTTAGACAGTGTCTTGCTAAATTGCTGATATGCCTAGGTTAGGCTTGAACTTGCAATCCTCCTGCCTCAGCTACCCAGAGTGCTAGGATTTATAGGTCTGCACTATCACACCTGGCTTGATTGTTCCTTTTTATTTTTTAAATTTTTGTTAATCTTCTCCTGCAAAAACTCACACATTCACCATCTTATAATGTCATTAGAACATCTTTACTCCTGCTTTTGCCGGTACCAATATTAGCCCTTGCAGCCCCTAGTGTCTTCGTTGTGTTTTTGAGTTCCTTTTACTATTTTCTTGAGGTCTGTTTTTCTCTCCTGGGGTCCATTTTTCTTTACACAATCAAAGGAACCATAAATTATGCCAAAGCTAGTTATCTTGCCACCACCAAAGTGAGCTCTGAGTCCAAATATAAAGATGATGTTTCGTATAGTCTTGTACATTTTGGCTAGTTTTTCCTAAATTTCTGTTGCCTTCCCTGGGTGGAAGACGTCAATAACCATTTGTTTCCTCTGAATTTGCGGCTTGGTGCCGAGAGAAAAGACTTGGATAGAGAGATGGCTTGCTGGCCTGGCAGTTGTCACATCAGCTTTCAGAAGTGCAGCTCCCCATCACCTCCCTAACACAGCTCTGTGCCAGCATTTTAGGGAGCCAGCTCTGATAATAGGAGCTTACTGTGTCACTAGGCATGGAGAATTCATAATTGCTGTAGTCTGTATCCTGTATGTGTGTATGTGCACGCACAATGGTCTTATATATAGTTCAGGCTGGCTATGAACTCACTGTTTTATTTTATTTATTTATTTATTTATTTATTTATTTATTTATTTATTTTGAATTCCCTGTTGATTGGGCTGTCCTGAACTCATGGTGATCCACCTGCCTCAGCCTCCCAGGGCAGGGATTATGGGCATGTCCTCCACACCCAACTTTGTTTTCTTTTATTTTGAGATGAGGTCTTGCTAAATTGCCTAGGCTGGGCTCATACTTTCAGTCTTCTTGCCTCAGCTTCCAGCAGTGTTGGGATTACAGGTATGCACTCTCATATTCAGCTTATATGTACTTTATAGTCACTTGCAGTTTAATAAAACTCTGTCTTTCCTCTGTTCTAAAAAGAAAGTTGTACATATCTGGGCTGGGTAGATAGATACCTATTCTTTCAAAAATGGAAGAGTTTTCCTTGAGAACGGGAAGCTGAGCACAGGAAGGGAATGATGTGACAGGGTTCATGTCTGGGGATTTCTGGCTGTTGCAGAAAATGTCTACGGTGGTTAAAGTGGACAGGTGGACTAATGAGGTTCCAAGTATAAAGTAGCTTAGCCTTGCGTGATGACGATAAAGCAGGCAAATGGACATGTTCTAGATGCACCTTGAAGATTATAATGGACAAATGTTCAGCTGCCCAAAAGTGTTAAGTAAGCGAAGCTCCTCCCTCCGTGTTTTATGAGGGTTGGTGAGGTAACAAGCTCTTTCATTGAACCCAGGGGTAGGAATGTGACCCAGGTGCCCAATCAGAGCACCTCATCCTTCCTGCACACTGGCTCAGGAAGGAAACAGAACACAAGGCATGACCAATAAAAGTTTTCTAAAAAAATTTTTGGAAACAGGGTCTCAATATGTAGCTCAGGCTGTCCTTGAACTCATGGAGATCCTCCTGCCTCAGCCTCCCAAGAGCTGGGATAACAGGCGTGTGCCACCATGCCTGGCTTCTAAAACTATTCTTAAATTTAAAAATATTTAATTTTTTTTTGTAAGTCGGGCGTGGTGGTGCATACCTGTAATCCCAGCACTTGGGAGGCTGAGGCAGGAGGATTGTTGCAAGTTCGAAACCAGCCTGGGCTAAAAGTGAGCTCAAGGCCAGCCTGAACTACATAGCAAGACCGTGTCTCAAAAAGACCAAAAAAAAAAAAATTATTTTTGTAGTCCTGGGAATCAAGCCTAGGGCCTCATACATGCTAGGTAAAAGCCTTGCAACTGACCCTCATGCTGAGCTTCTGTTTGTTTGTTTAACTAGAGTGGTGGGGAATGTGACACAATTTTTCCTTCTCTTAGGATCTCAGGTTGGGGATCAGTTTATCTGTCTCCCAAGAGACCATTGCTAATGAATGAATGAGACTAATAAGTGAAGGGAACTGGAGATAAAAGATGAAGCCACAGGCAAATGTGGTGGCACAGGCCTGTCATCCCAGCACTTGGGAGGCTAAGGTAGGAGGATCACCATGAGTTCAAGGACAGCCTGGGCTATATAGTGAGCCCAAGGCTGGCCTGAATTACATAATAAGAGACTGAGCAAAGAAAGAAAGAGAGGGGTGGGGGAGAAAGAAAGACAAAGAGAGAAGTGACATGTGTTCTAGAACATTTGAATTCTTGCTCAGGTGCAGACCACTTCCACCTGTATGTTTCCTATGATCTGGTTCTCCAACTAGGGAAGGGTTGCCCACCTCCATCCCACCCCCCAAAACTCTTGTTCTTCTTTTCTTCCTCTAGTAAATGGCAACTCTCTCTTCCCAGTGGCTGGAGTTACTCTCAGATTCTTCTCTTTTTGTTATAATCATGTATAATCCTTGGTTCTGCTGTAAAATGTACCCAGACTGTCTGATATCCCCCAATTTTTTTTCAGACAGGGTCTCACTATGCAGTTCAGGCTGGCCTTGAGTTCACTTTGTAGCCCAGGCTGATTTCAAATTTGCAATGATCCTCCTGCCTCAGCCTCCCAAGTGCTGGGATTATAGGCATGTGCAACCACACCCCACTCTTCCTTCAATTTTGAGACAGGTTTTCCCTAAATTGCCCTGGCTGGACTTGAACTCCCAATCCTCCTGCCTCAACTCCCAAGTAGCTGGGATGACAGGCATGGGCCCCCGCACCTCACTCACTCACAGACATTCTTTTAAACTAGGAATGATATCACTGTTCTGCTCATGGCCTTACTGTGACCCCTAGTTTCCCTAACAGTTAAAACCCAAGTCCTCACTGTGGTCTGGGAGGGCATAGGTGCAGGCAGGACTCTGATCTCATCTCTTCCTTCCCTTCTGCCACATGACCCTCCAGGAGCCACCTTCATCTCTCTGTCTCCCAACTGTTCCCCTCGCAAGAGAGCCATGCTTCCCCTTGGGGAGTCACACCAGCCCTTGCCAAATTAATTTATGTATTTCTGAGGCTGAATCTGCCAAGAAAAATTGCCTGGACACAACTCCTTCCTTTACCTCCCTCAGGCCCTTGTTTAAATGTCCCCTTTTCCGTGAGGCTTCCTGGCCACCCCTTTAAAACTGTAGTCGCTTTTCCCAGGAATGCTGGATCTTTTCTCCCCTGCCTTTTCTTCATACCAGTTTTCACCGTCTGACCCACATTCTGCTGCTGTGTGGTGTAGGCTCCGTCAGGGAAGGGTTTTCTGTGTGTTCAGTCCCCTTAGTGCCTAGAATAGTTCCTGGTCCTAGTCAATAAATATATACTAAGTCAGTGACCCAAGCCCTTCGGTTCTCCGTGGGCCCTGAATTCATTCAGAGTGTGTTTCTGTCACTTGCATCCGGAGTGCTGAGACAGGAGGAGTCCTGTGGAGTGGTACACTGCATGCTTCCCTCTCTCTGGGCCTGACACCCTCCCTGTCCTTTCCCTCTCAGCAGGTGATGTTCTATGGCTACAGCTCTTCCTGTAGCAAGAGATGAAAACATAAGTTGAAACACCGCCACCAGTAGAGGGGTTTATTGGCTCCTGCAGTAATGAATGGTTTTAAGACAGCATGACCTCCAGGGAAGCTTGGAATCAGTGGTTGAAGCTGTCATCAGGATCTGTTTTCTGTAGCAATGGTCAATTTTCTTTTTTTTTAATTTGAGCAGGGTCTCACTATGTAGCCCAGGCTGGCCTCGAACTTACAGTGATCCTCGTGCCTCAGTCTCCCAAGTGCTGGGGTTATAAGAGTTCCCACCACATCTGGTTTAGGTCTGCTTTATTTCAAAAGGGCTTCCTTATAGTGGCAAAATATCTACAGCATTTGTCTTTTTGTTTAGTTTTGGTTTTTTGAAGGGGTACTAGGGATTGCTTTTGTTATTCTTTTGGGCATCACTTGTCATTCTTTTTGGCCTCAGGATCTGAATCGCAATGTTTGAAGACTCTCCCAACTTGTAAGGCAGCACCCTCTGCCACCACAAAAGCTGGGGTGCCAGCCAGCCCTCTCCTGGCTTGCTTAGCACATGATTCAGACTCTGCTGTGATCTACTGGGTCACTTGGCCGGTGGGTTTTTCCCTAGCTGTATAGAATTCAGGCCTAGTGCTCTGACATTCCTAGATATTCTGGTAGTTACCCAGGACACTTTCAGTAAAGTTCTTTTCTGGTTAAATGAGCCAGAGTTGTTTTCTGTTGCGTGAAACCAGGAACGCTTTCCGACCTACTCCAACAGCTCCGGAAACTGAGGAGCAGCATTCACCAGACACCAGACCTCCCAGAAGAACAAGGGTACTTTTTTCTTTCTCTCACTCTTTTTTGTTTGTTTGTTTGTTTTTTGAGTCAGGGTCTCACTTTGTAGCCCAGGTTGGCCTAGAACTTACAGCGATCCTCCTGCCTCAGCCTCCCCAGTGCTGTGATTACAGGTGTGCACCAGCACACTCAGCCAGGATACATCCTTCCCAAAACCTCAGTTAATGCCCTTTCATATCTCAGTGGCCTAAATTGGTTCATAGGCCCACATTAGATGCTCTGGTCAGGGTA